GAGTGTTTATTGGACCGCGAAGCGGTCAGGGGGTGTACCCCCTTACGTTACTATAATGTTACACGTTAATGTTTGAATTCTGAACTACAAAGGCCAAATACATATCAGAGAAAAATCTGCGAAGAGTCAGGACGGAACGGGGGGGTTTCGTTGTGAGGTTCCAATTTTCGACCGCCTTGCCGTTTCTTTCCTGCCTCGAGCCGCCCCCCCCCCCCTCCTCGTCCGAGAGTTCGGACAACTGAGGCTATTTGAGGTTAGAGCCGCTTACTCTGCAGTATAAATCAAATAGATGAGAATGCTTCTTGCCCCCTTGTCCCGTGTTCCGCCTCTCGCTCTAGTTTCCCGTCGTTCTGTCGTTTTACATTCGAGAGGAGAACTGTCAACTGGGGCTCGGTTCCGCTTGTTTTTGAGGACACATTCTGCCGCATGGACGGTGTACCCTGATACCAGCTCCCTGCACATCCACAACGGCGTCCTGGGTAAAGTGAGCCGGACTCCTTTACTGCCGTGCTAAGGAGAAACGCTGTATGAACATTCGAGAGTTGCCAAATTTCCTCCAGTAATTTTTTTGTATTAAGGAGAGTTATGAATATTTTCTCTTGAAATTTTCAGAAAACGTAGATCTGATTACGAAGACAATTCTCTGAAATACTGAACAGAAAATATTCACAATTTCCTGAAAATTCGTATTTGATCCATGGAAATTTGGCAAATAGAAGCAAATTCTTTAAAATTTTCAAAGGAATCCACACAAACGTTCTCTCGTAAAACTTAAATTGCCCTGTTAATTTTGGCAAAAGCTGAAGTGGCTTGGTTCCTTTCTGTTAATAAACGCGGTCCAAATCATCATAACTCCGGTATTTTTTAAAATTTTTGTGGGTTTCATTAGCCGAATTTGCCAAATTTGACAGGGGTATTTGTGCAAGCATGCAGGTAACACTGGTAACAGCGTCATGGCGAGGCCGGATTTACTGCGAAGGCACACGTGACGCGTGTTTAAGGGTGTTCATCCACTGAAAAAATAAACTCCGGCCGTAAAAGCCGTACTTACGGGCTATATAGAACATAGACATACCGTCCGCGATCCGGGCTCAGAGGCCGAAACTTCCAGGCGGAGAATCCGGAGGAATCGAAGCTACGGCTCCAGCACCCAGAAGTTTCGGTCTCTGAGCCCGGAACGGACGGTACGTCTATATAGCCCGGAGCTTTATTTTCAGTGTCATAAAAATGCCCGCACAACGAAGTATTTTTCTTTCCCTTCTCAACCTGAAGTGTTAATATACTTTTAGATTGTAGTATTTGCCCCTATCCCTTACAGGCGTATAACTGAGTCTATAGGATGCCAACCTCTCCTCTTTGCTCTTATAACGTGAGCCAAAAACTAACTCAAGGTGCGATTAAAAGGGTTATACAATTCCAAAGTCTGCCTAAGCCTAAGGCCTCCCTGACCCTCCTCTACTAGTGAAGTTAACCGCGACAAACCCCACCCCACCCCCTTCCCGGGAGGTATACATAGGGAGAGTAAGTGCACCATGAATTGGGCTGAGGGGCCCAAAAATCCTATGGCCGGCCATGAGTCATGACTTGCACTATCGCTGTCGTGTTACCGGCACTTTTCGGGACCTCTCACTTTTCGATATTGATTTGAAGTAGGTACTTGCGAGGAAATTTGGTGACTTAAGTGCTTTCCGTATTTTCTTTCATGAAAACTGGACAGTGATAGATTACTATCGCTTGTAATATCTATATCAGATGCATTAACGCTGAGGGTAAAATTGGCCGAGCGTCACTTGAAGTAAATGGAGTTTAGAAAATTTCGTATCACAGCAAAAACTATTTCGAGGGATAACATTGTAATAGTTAATCCGACATCGCTCGCGTAATGCTGTACATTTTCCGTTTTTGAAACGACTTTGAAGGCACCAATTAGAATATTCCTTCAAATTATGAAATAAATGAAAAACGAATAAATGACCTCAAGGCGTTTTGGAAAGTTATCAGTTTTCGAAAATAAATGGAAAATTCTTTTCACTGTCGGGTCGCCAATCATCTGAACGAATTTTTTTTTCGACAGTTCACCTTAAGAAAAATTTCTCGCACACAAAATCATTATTGTCACTCGCCAGGACGTCTATCCCCTGCCCTTCTTTGAATGTAGTTTTTGCATTTAGAAAAGATTATTTCTTTACCAATAATTTTCACGTGTTTCGCGAGAAAGATGAAATAATGCAACTCTAAAATCAACTTCCAAGCTTAAAACAGGCTCTTAAAGTTGAAGCCTCCACAGAGGAGCTAACTTGTTTCGTTAGAGCCCACTTTCACGTTCAATGGATCTGTTGCACACAAGAGATACATGCAACCAACTTGGAACCTTAGCTACAGGTAAAATTGCACAAAACTGACGTTGAAGACATCAAAAATGTCCGAGATTCACCCCTCTTGCACGATCTGTGTTGTCCGTATCACGTTTTTTCAAAGAGCATGTTCAAAAAAGGCAGTTTTGTGCCCCTTCTAAAAACCTCAGAGATTTCGTTCATAAGTGTCCTGAACGAGACCCAACGATACGACAATCCTCCACTGAAATTTTTAGATTTAGTCAAAAGTTCGTTTTGGCGATACCGCCTGGCTAAGTTCGCATTTTTATTATTGAAAAATGATAGTATTATTGATCCTTTTGCATTTTCTGAGGCTCAAAATCAAACGATGTGCTTGGCAATAGACACTGCTGTTGATACAACGGTCAATGACGGTCGCAAAACAGCGTAACTAGGTTAATAGAAACTGTCGGAAGTGTGCTTTTTGAATAGGTAACTATCCTCGCTCTTTGGTAGGTTTGTTGCCTATATAGCAAAATTGAAGGCGAACCGAGACCGAGAGTGGCTAATATCGGCCAAGTTTTGCGTATTTTACAGTGGCTCAACGTAATTTTCATGCAATTGTGCTCTTGAAAAGTATACTCAGTCGACAGGGTTGCCATAGTTTCTTCTTCATAAAGTTCCCTGACTTTCCCTGCATATTTTAACTTGTCCCTGACTCCAAAATTTTTAGATTTCCTGACTTTCCCTCACATTTTAATCAAACTTCCACTTTAATTTTTTCCCTTTAAATTTATCCACTACTGCTGAACGAATCTCGCGAAATTCCCTGGCTTTTCCTGAGAATTCCCTGATTTTCCCTGCCTTTTTCCGGTCGCCGCAAATTCCCTGCTTTTCTCGGGTTTCCAGACGGCCGAACCTTGTGCTGTGTTTCTTGTGAGCAAAACTCTCCAGCAGGCACAGAGATAGGACTTAATACATGACCGCGGTCGTTATTATACTGGGACCGGTAACATTGTTTTTGGTTTTTTTTTTTTTTTTAGATTTTTTAAATTTTTTCTTCTTTGACGGTTGAAAATGATCGGGAAACCGGTCAAAACGTCCCGCATTTTGTAAATTATTGCGTTTTTCAGCCTCGTCCCCTCCTTTTCCTGTCCTATTTTATATTTATATATGTCGTCATTATAAGTGGCAACTTTAAAGTTTCACGATGGTAATCATCAGTCATGGCAACCTACTCATATTGACGGCGAAACTGCAAAAACGCATAACTGGGTTTGCAACGCTGCAGACTTCCTGTCATAGTAGGAAAATCCAAGGAATTGTCGTGTTCCTTTCGAAATTTTCTACAGCATTTCTGGGTACATCGAACCTCTCAGTTGCATGCAAGAGCTCCGTGGTGCCGTTTCTCTTACTGTTATGTTCACTTGGAGGTCAAAACAATACCCTCACTTAAAATTTGAAAGTCTCGTAGAGGAAAAGAAAAAAAAAAATCCCAAAAAATGCTTCTGGCAGCCTCCCGGGATCCTTGGAATAGAGTGATTTAGTGAAAATCTAAGCCCTTTGAAGAATTCATGTTATTTTATGAATACCTAGAACTTTCATCTCTTGTGAGAGGCCAGTCTGAGGAAATCGCTCCGAGTAACGAAAAGATTTCATGTGACCGATGAAATACGAAAAACAGAATAAAGGAAAGAAAAACAAGGCTAATTAAAGGGAAACTATTAGAGGTTAAGAAGCCTGCTTTATCAATAAATTTAATTGGATTGGTCGATAAGAATCTAGAAAATTGAAAGCAAAACAAAGACGGCGGTTTTTGTTGGAAACATGAAACCGCGCAGGATACGCCCACTTCTGAAGTTCTGAGCTAGGGAAGCAAAAATGCCAATTTGATACGGTTACCTCGAGAGATTTGCGATTCAAGTACTTACTTAATAATGACATATCCAAAAATCTAGGTGAATTCAGAGGGCGAACTGATATACTGCCTCTCCCCATTGCCTACTTAAACCCTATCAACAGGGGTTTACCATGATAATTCTACCTTCATGATCGCATATACCTCAGAAGGTAATTGTAAGAGAAAATTCTTTGAAAAGTCGCCCCTCCTTTATACTTTTGGGCTAAGCAGGCCCATACTAAACGGACCTATTTGTGGCATTATACGGATACGGACATTATAAGATTCATTACTGGTTAAAAACTGAATCAAAAGCTCAGCTCATCGCTTAAGTTCTCTACCCAGCGGAATGGTGTACGTGTGTGGGGGAGTATCTTCAAAATATGATGTCATTAGATCGCGGCAAGAGCAGCAATACATCGATAGGAGGTTAAACAATCGTTCGCAAGGGGTGGTTACCCTCGCCACCACGACATACCCACTCTACTCGCCATTTTTCGTCGAAAGAGAGGAGATTTCAGACTTCGTGGTTGCTTTGAGCCATAACACCTCCTTCGTAAATAACAAATTCAAAGGAGAAAGCCAGAGGGGTAACATCGAGTCGCAGGCGTGAGGCACAAGAGCGAAGCTGACTGCGAAGCATCATGCATTTCGTTCTAGCGAGCGTCAAGGCTCCAAAATAGGCGTGAAGCAAGGCGTTGGTTGTTTTTTGCGCATTCCTTCGAGAGCGTGTGTGCGGGGGTACGGTCGGGGGAGGGAGGAGTGCGGAGTGAAGGGTGCTTTACCTCAGTGCTGGCATGTTTTGTCGAGGATGAGTAGGAGGAAGGTGAGTGAGAAGCACAAGACTGACACAGACACACACGGAAACGGAGACGAAGACGAAGACGGAGGTCGGGCAGTCGGGCACGGGGGTCAAGACACGCGAGCGGCGCTGCACTCTGGGGGCATGTCGCCGTCGATGGGGGACGGCAGAGGCGATGGCATGGGTGGCATCACATAGCGGGGCCCCGAACGGAGGGAAGCGCAGAGCAGGGCGCGTCTGGACAGGAGGGCTCTAAACTCGCGGAATGGCAGCGGGATGGCGAGGAGGCGACCGTAGACCCGAGACGAGCTTCGCTGAGCATGGGCACGGCCCGAGTCCCCGCGAGTCCCCGAGCCCGCCGAAGCTCGCCCCCCTCCCCCCCCCGCCAGCCCTGCCGGGCGAGCCCCGCGTCTCTATGGGAGCGGCCGCTCGCTCTCTCACGGGGCGTGCGTACTCGCCGGGGCGGGCGAGGGCGCCATCCTCCCATCCAAAGGAAAAACGCCTTAACAACACCCCAGAGTTGCCAGATTTCCTCCAATCAAACGCTCATTTATCAGAAAATTTATGAATAATTTTCCTCGGAATTTGCAGGAACTATAAGGGTGAAATTACGAAATAAAATTATCTAAAGAATGGAAGGAAAATTTTCGTAACTTTTCTCGAAAATGAACATTTTATGGAAGGAAATTTGGCAACGCCTGGAGGCTGATGCGGGGTTTTTCCTCAGCGCGGGAGCATCCGATACCCGAGCCGGAGCCGGGCCAGGCAGGGCGCATCTTTTGATCCACATTTAAGCGTCTAATAATTCTTTCATCTCTATACTTACTTTCAAGTTAAAGCCCTGTCACATCTCCCGCGGCCGGCCAGGTTCGGCGGCTCGACCTGGCCCCACTGACATCAAACGCGGCAACGGACTCGCTGGTCCTGCCTCTCGCTTTGACCATAAACATCCCCGTGCCTCATTCCTCATTCACCCGGCCCCGGCCCCATTCCCGCGGTTACGGTACCTGCTCCGGAGGCGCCCGCTCCCGGTTCCGCCGCACAACTTTTCCCACCCCCGCCCCGCCCCGCCCTGCCCTGGCCGCACCCTCCTCGTCGTCCTTTCCTCATATCTCTAAATAGGCGGGAAAACTCTAATACGTCCGTATTGGAGAAGCGCTCAACTTATCTATGAAGGCGCGTTTTTAAGTTCCCCAGAGGAGATGAGCACCGTTGATTTGAAAGAACTCGCTCACTAGAACTACAAA